TTCAAATATACATATACAACACTTTCTCACTCACCTGCGATGCTGACAGCAGGCTGTCTGTGGGTAGTTCGACCATGGTTTGTATCTCCGCTGTGTAGTGAAACAATGCATCACTATCAGGAAACCATGCCCCACAAGCATCGAGGCTGAGCTCAAAGCAATCTCAGTGTACAGGTATATGCAAATCATACTGTGCCTACCATAGACACTTTCATAGAATAAACGGACTAAACTGTATTTTGACATACACACTCTTATTGAAAAAATGTATACCAACCGACATATTCGTTTGTTATATTAGCTCTCGTCACTGTCTGTGTGTTTATTGCAGCTTTCTTGGCTGCTGTGCGGTACAAGAGCTTCCCCTAACAGAGATCATTGATGAAACAGGCAACATGGGGTATACTCATATATATATCGGTGACTACAATCCCATCTCTTATCACTACCCAGGCTGCACCTACCTACCCATTGGCAACAAGATGCACTCATACACTTCAAACAACATAACTGCTGCTCTTACCCACTCGGTCTACATACTCCTGCCCTTACCGCTCGAGCTGCCGTTCCAAAAATCAACCAATGGATACACTGAGAACCTAAAAAAAGCCCAAACCCGTACATATCCCACACACAAATACATATCATTGCCACAGAAATCAGGTGGAAAGCAATGGGTGTGCCCAAGATATATGGGTAGGTATATACATATCACACACACCGATACATACCGTTGCCAAAGAAATCGGGTGAAATGCATTGGGTGTGTCTGAGATTAATGGGTAGGTATAACCTCATCTTCTCGTGTTTTATAGCGAACGATGAGCTCTGCCTGGTGGCGAGGGGTGGATGGGCAATCCGTTCGGATGAGCTCTGGGGATTGGGGTTAAGAATTTAGATATGGGGTTTTTGACATTTAGCACTAAGTATTTAGGATTTGGAATTTTAGAATTTCGGATTGGGGCTTGGGATTTAGAATTTCGGATTTAGGATTGGAATTTGAGATTTGGGAGGACTTGAATTTTGAATTCTATTGGCTGTTGTGGAGCTGACTTCTGCTCTGAGCACACGCATATGGCAAAATCAGATGTAATACAACTACGTGCATCGGATTCAGGGTGTGAGTCTAAGGTTTAGTAACCTTGCATTGCAGGGTATATCAAACATCAGATCGGTCTACCTGTAATATAAAGCGTACAGAGAAGTACTACACAAACCAATGACTGTCCATTGCAACGTAAGTATACGACAGACAACTACCACACAGACACGTGTCCACGAGCAATCACCAACCAACAAACCACGTAAGAGCCTTGAGAAGGCAGAGCAATAAAGTACCTCATCCTAGCCCTTACAACTGACGGTCTAACCGCATACACCTTTTGACTGCTAACCTCTTTTCAGTCTGTCAAGACATTCCATACACATACACACCTTGTGACTGCTGAGTCGCATGGCCTCTTTTAAGTCTGTTAAGATATTCCACACACACGACGCAAGCGCTGCGGTGATGTGCTTGCGCGCCATTTGGCGAGCACGCACACTGTGGGTGATAGCGATGCGGAACACGGCCGACTCCAGCGCCGAAGTACGGTATCTCGTGCTGTGTGTGCGAGTTCAGATAGGGGGAGGGGGTGGTTAGGGAATTATATACATGTAGGGTAAAGAGAAGCCTCTCTATTTACTACCGAGTACTGTGGTAAATGAGTTTAGAGAGAGAGGGGGGGTCGGGGAAATGAAGGTTAAAAGCAGGTATCTACGGCTGTAAACGTACGCGCACACTAGGTGCATGACAAAATCTCTTCATAACGGCAGGCAAGACAACTATCCCAGAAAGAGTCACCCTAAAACCCTGCTAATAACTAAAACCCTGCTAATCATTAGGGTTTAGAATACACATGCCACAAAGTTGTGTTGCGACATTGGCGATACCATATGTTACACACAATATGTGGACGACGGACCAAACTACAACACACTTAAGACGGCATATTCAGTACTCTCTGCGGTACAGAGGGAGCATATACACGCACACAAATATAATAATGTTATATATATATATATATATATATGTATATATATATATATATATATATGTGTGTGTGTGTGTGTGTGTGTGTGTGTGTGTGTGTGTGTGTATATATTTATATTAGCAGAATCTGTTGGTGTGGGGAATACATACATAATGTGACTCACGAAGCCCTTCGGCTCCACATAGTATCCCTTTGGTGGGTTAGTGATATCGAAGGACTTGGCGGATTGAGATCGCGTGGATAAGTCAGTGAGTGGTTGGCATCTGTCAAGTGATTTGGCGTCCACTGTTCCGTTGTTGTAGTGCTGCACCAAACATCCGATGAATGTGTGTAGGCTGAGTGTGGGAGAAGACGAGCGTTGGTATGAGCTTAGCACTGAGTGTCGTGAATTGCCTATTGCAAGGGGTGGCGCTAGAACATGCTATGGACAGGCGCACACACTTAGAACGTGGACTGGGTACACCATGATAGGCGAGACATGCACAAGACAGCGCAGCAACCAATCAGATGCAAGAAAACTACAGCCAAACGGATATCGTGTCACACACGGTAGGCAACGTACCCTATCTCTCTCTCTCACACACACTCACATACGCACATACTCATACCAGCACACACCACCAACACGTACCCCCCTGCGCGTGCACGCCAGTTACCTACCTACGTACCTACCTATCCATATCAACGAGGCACGACGAAACACTCACCGCCAACGCGCACGTGGGCATCGCAGGCGCGTGCGCGTCTGGATCTGCGTCACTGCCGCTGTCTGTGTCCGTTGCTTCTAGCTGCTCCGTAGCAACCGTTCCTACTTTAATACGTTCGCGTTTGGTGGGTGTGGCATGGGAGGCTGTGCTCAGGCCCGGAGATGTAGTGAGGGTTTTGAGCGAGCCTAATATGGATCTTTTTGGCGGGCTCACGGGCGTGCCTATCTTGCTGGGACTCCTATCGCCACCTGGGGGTTAAGGTATAGGGTTTAGGGTTTAAGGTTTAGGGCTAGGTGTACCGTAAGTAGTCGACAAAGTGTCAGTATCGAACACTGGGTATCCTAGACACCACATCTAGAATACCAAACGTTTACTACACATAAACCTATCATACCAGAGGTTTATTAACCTAGACTACCAGGCGTTTACTACACAAATAGGCCAAGTGATGATTGTTGGTGTAGTGACAAGCACCCAATCCCTCGAGGGCAGACGCATACACACTTAGCAGCCAGCCTACCTGCTACCACACCCGTGCTCCCATTCAGTGGTGTGTTAGTGGCACTGTGATTCGCATGGTCCCTGTGTGCTGCTGGGTGGGTTGCTGAATCTATATGCGTATCATCTGCTGTGGTGTGGTTTGCTTCCAGGCCGGTGCGATCGGTTGTGCCAATGAACGTTGGGGGGTGGGTAGGCCCTTTTGGCTCGTTTTATTGGGCACTCGGAGCTCATCCTGGTCACTGCTTGAACAGATGCGTAGTATGGATAAATGAATAGGTCATGTGGATACAATGGTATATTGTGACTAAAACAGGAAATGTGGTTAAATTGATAGATAATGTGGTTAAATTGATAGATAATGTGGTTGAATTGATAGATAATGTGGTTAAATTGAAAGGTAACGTGGTTAAATTGACAGGTAATATGGTTAAATTGATATATTATGTGGTTAAATTGATATATTATGTGGTTAAATTGATATATTATGTGGTTAAATTGATATATTATGTGGTTAAATTGATAGGTAGTGGGGTTAAATTGATAGATAATGATAAAATCGATAGGTATTGTGGTTAAATTGTCAGGTATTGTGACCTAAATTGACAGGTAATGTGGTTATGTTGAAAGGTAATGTGCATGAATTCACAGGAAAGGTTAAATTGACAGATAATGGGTTAAATTAATTAATATGTAACGTGGTTAAATTGACAGGTATCTGGTCAAAAGTTTAACTTGACGAGTGTACATAAACATATAATCATGTTTTCCTTGCCGACAAATGCCCCGTCAGTAGAGGACTGGTTGGGTGTATGTTTGCTGCATATATTTCGATCTATCCAATACATTGAAAATACCTGATTTAGCTACGTCTAGGTTTTATAGGACCCTTTAAAGCCAGC